CAATTAGTTTCCAATATAAAATTAAAAAATTAATCCTTTTTTAAAATAAAAAAAATTCGCGATTCTCTTTATTTGTTGGGCAAAAAGTCCCTTTCCAATAAATCACCGAATAAAATTTTGTATATAAATTTCAATTTACAAATTCAAGCTTTTTTCTATATAATCGTTTTTTCTATATTATTTCCACATTAATCAATATTGAAACAATAATCTCTTTTGTTTCGATTTTAATATTCATTACCCAATTGATTTAACTTATTGACTGCAATTTCTAAATTGCCAATTTCAATTTTTTTCTTCATTTTTCATTCTGTTGTATATTTTTTTTTACACACCTCCTCATTCCTCTTCCTTTCTGTTTTAAACTCGTTGTGCTTTTTTATATTTATTCCATACGATTTTTCTTTAGAAGTAGATGTATTAAATTTCGGAAATCAACACCCGACATTATCTACTGTACTGCTTTATTATACAATTTATCTTAATCTCTTATTTTGCAACAGTAGGACTTTTCCTTAGCACTTTCTCTCTTTTGATTATTCTTATCCCACAGGATAGTAGGATAGTAGATTGTCTGTTGTTGGTTGTTGGCTGGCTCTACCCTTCATTGTAATTCACACCAAATAAATTTCATTGAATTGGTTTCCTTGTATTATTCACAACTTAGAAATGCCTTACGAAATAAAGATAAGCCGGAACTGAACATCATCAAAAAACATTATCAGCATCTGCAACACCAGCATCAGTTTCAGCTTCAGCATCAGCATCATCAGCGGCGGCGGCACTGACAGCAAACAACAACAGCCGAAAAATAGCAAAAATTCCAATGCATACATTTAAATACCAATCGGAAAATCGGAATAGCAAAGTCTTAATGGAAAAATAGGAAAAACAGCTTCATCAGATATGCCAAAACGTACGGAAAGGACCTGTACATGGTCCTTTCCATTGTGGCCAAGCAGTAACTCTTCACAGTTCATAACGCTGCTTGAGCTGTCAAGTGGCAAAAAAGTTATGCCCAAATGGTCAAAAATCTTGAAAAACCTTACATGGCATATGATAAGGTTATCAGCAGAAGACACTGAAATTAATGGAAAAATTAAAAAGTAATTTTCTTCTCCAGTCGGTTGGTTCGAGCTGAGACAACCAACCGCTTGCATACAACTTAATTACTTCCAAATATCACAACTTCACACTTTATTTGAAATTAATGTGCGTGAATTAATTTTATTAAACCAAAAACAAAAAACGATAAACAAAAAAATCTAAATCAAAAAACATTTCCCACATCCCACATCCCACCGAACCGAACACATTCTCCCTAACCAGTAAATTGTTGCAAAAGTATTGGTTGTGGAAGTGGCAGCGGAAACGGATGTTGGTGAAGCCACCATGCTGCCTGAAGTTTACTTATGTGTGATAAAATGATGAAACGAAGCAAAAAGTAGGAAGAAGTGAAGTGAATTCATTTGTGTGCTTGTGTAGAAAAATTCAATTGAAAAAAAAAAAAAATGAATAAATGAAAGAAATTATGTTGAAGAGGAAGAGTGTATTCCCGTTGCGCAGATTCCGGGTAAAATGTGGTAACGGCTGCGGTGAGGTATTAGTAGCAGTTTTTTGCACCGTCCATTAACATTGAATTAAGTTTCTTTTTATTAAAAAAAAAAAGAAAAAAGAAGAAAAGCCGCATCAAATAAAGCACAGAGCGGAAGCACTAAAACGCATTGAGTTGAAGTACAATAACTGCTTAAACGTGTCCAAAGTTAGGAGCAGCATCAGCACCAGTGAACCAGTAAAAGCCTTTAAAAGCAGGACGAAATTAAAATTTGAAGCTACTTTCTGGTGTTATATAAGAGAAAAGTGACACTTGTTATTTAAAGAAAAAAGAAACTACAACATTCTAACTTTAAGACCACGAATGAAACACCTAAAGCTGCTTCTTTATTTTTGACTTTATTACATACGAGTACTCGTACATGAGAGGGAATAAAGAGATTTTGGTATTTTTAATTAAAAAATAAATTCAAAGTTTAATAAGAAAGAAAAACTTTATTTAAAATTATTTAATAATATTTGTCGCAAGAAACTCCACTCAATTAATAAAGCCTGATTTTGAAACGTATACCAATCGCCAATAACCAACAACTTGTATACCAATATAGGTTAGGTTGAGTTAGGTTAGTTTAGGTTAATGTGACATTAGATTTAGTTCCCTTAGTTACTTATATTCTATAGTTTCAAGGTGAAATTATTGCTTAACATGAAACCTTCACTTTTTACTTATGACACCATTTTGAGGTTGTTATGAAGCGCAGGATTTCTTTGACACTAACATTGGAAACTTCTGTAGGAGACATATTTATCTAGTCCTGCTTCAATCGCTCAAAAGAAGCCGCGTGTTGATTGTTGCAAGAAAACATTGGCAAAACATGTCCGAGGTAGCTCAAAACATGTCTACGATACCACTACAAGTGAAGAT